TAAGAAAACTAATGATTGTTTTAGGAAATAAAAATCTAATGTTTTTATGTAAATCATTATATCGTAAGCTCTTAAGAAAAACTACTTCTCATATGTTTGTCAGGATTGCGATCATTATATTTAATGTCTTGAAACAAAAGAAATGTCAAACACTTATAATAAATTTATAACAATAGATATTAAATGATTTGTAATATCATTTAGTAATACAAAACATTTAATAAAAAATTTAAAAATTAAACATAAATACTTAATGAATGGAAATTTTAAATTTTGAGACAACAAAATATTGGGCACAATATAATGGGCTCATCCATTGCCATACAACTGCTGGGTTGGTCTGACTGGTCTGACCCTAACTGGGGGTCTATTACCATATTGTCCGTAATTTGGCTGTACTTTCAATCTATCCCTTTCCAGTCTTTCCTCGTCGATAGCCTTCTTGATGTAAATGCGGACAAAATTACCCAAAAAGTTAAACATTGAGAAGAATTTCTTCTTAAAATCTCTTGACATTATTTTATCGGTTTGATTATTCTTTACTATCCAATAACCGGCGGTCCATATCTAGCATATTGGAAATTAAAAATACATTTGTAAATACATTATTATTAAAGTAAATTAAAATAAATAAAGCAACAAAAATAATATATCGATAATATGAATAAATATAGTTTTTATTCAAACCTTTTTTGATTGCAAAAAATAGTTACAAAATTTTTTATATTAAATAATCCATAGTTTATTGTCGAATATTAATATTCTTTCAGATTATCATTTGAACGGAATATTAATGTAATTGCAAATAAAATTACTGTACATTTGATTTGATTTTAAAGTAAAAATTACTACATAAACAAAGAAAAGGTGATCAAGGTGATTTTTGGATCTAAATTTTCATCTGTTCTTCTATATTATCAATAACATCTCTAAAATAAATTTGCAGACTTTCGCCCCAATTATAATTAATGATTACCGTTGCCAACAGCAGGGATGCCAGGAATACTGTACAACAGACACAGGTAGAGCACGAACAGCACATCTTATAAAACCACCAAGTTCAAAGTTGGGTTTGAAATTTGTTTTTAACTTGTTTGGTTCACAGGTGTATGTCTTTTGTAGTTTTCAAATGCACTGCAATCACCCGAACGACCACTTATTATATATACACTATTTTTTTGTGATAATAAACACAAACAATATTTCATCATTTATTACACACATTGAAAGCGACGAATACCTTAAACAGTACCACAAGCGGTCGTAAAGTGGTTTAACAAATCGTTTTCTCGCATTTGCTATTAAAATATAAAATCAATACATTTAGAGATGAATGAAATGTAAGAATAATAATAATAGCTATAATGAGCGAAACAATCGGAAAAAACAGTGAAAATTCAATTATATGTAAATTAGGAGAAAGAGTGTGCGAAGAGAGAGGAGAAGTGAAAGAGTGTACAAAACTTTTTTGTTTTTACCTAAAGTTTTCTTACGTTCAATACTGATCTCTAAACTCAGCGGTCGATTGGCTTTTGTTTTTGTTCAGCACTTAAATTAATATTTATATCCATATATATGTAGGGTATATAACCATAGAGTATATATGGATATAAATGAGTGACAGTGAAGTGAAGTGAGAAACTCTACAAAAAATCTAATATAAAATATATTTAGTTTGTGTTGTCATTCACTTGTTGTGTAATTCTTATGAGAAGACAGTGAGAGAGAAAATGCTTGAATAAAATCGATTCCTTTGGCAAATATAGTGTAAAAAC